GAGGCAAATAAAAACCCACGAGGAGATATCTTTTTATTTCCACCAAACTGACCACTGTGGTAATCAGTGGTGGGCAGAGAAGGCTCAACGTATACTTCAACTCTGATGATGGGATTGGAATTTGGTAAATTACTTTGAAAACTAGCATTATAAGCTAAAAATAAAACAAATTTTCACATACATCACAGACAATCAAAGTCATTAACTCCTTCAGAGAACACACGTAATTTCAGAAGACACAACACTGAAACAGTTCTCTCTCTCTCTCCCCCCCTTCCCATTTTGGTGGCCTAGTGGCAAGAAGCTGCGCTGCAATGCAAGAGAGGTTCAAGGCCACCAGCTGCTCTGCAGGAAAAGGATGAGCAGTCTCCTCCCTTGTGACTAACTGCCTTGAAAAACCCACCAGAGGGTCAGCTATGGGTGGGTTCTGACTCTATGGTACACAACTCTGTGTGTGTCTGTGTATGTATACATGTCTTGGCTTCAGCTTGAGCATCACAGGATAGGACAGGGTTCAGATCTGTTGTTCCTAGGGTCGCTATGGACCATACTTGACTTGAGATCTACCTCTATCATCTCTATACTCTCTCTCTCTCCATGGGAGAAGGATGGGCAGTCCCCTCCAGTGCAATTAACTACCTCTGAAAACCTGCTGGAGGGTCAGCTATGGGTTGGTTTTGACTCGATGGTATACACAGTAATGACATATATATTTTTTATGTGATCATTCATACACATTTTGTTTCATAATCTTAAAATAACAATTTCACTCGCTCATTCTCATACATTGAGATGGCTATTTATAGTTAAAAGTGGCACCATTGTATAGACTAAAAATAAAAACTAACCAAAAAAAGCAGTTGTTTTGCCTTTTAAAAAAACATATTAATGCATAAGAGTCAGCATTTTCCTCCACTCTATTCTTACATCTAATCCCCTCAGCATGTATTTAAGATCAGGATAATTAATCCTTTAAAGACACAAGGAGGTATACCTTCCCAACTGAGACTATAGCAATATTTTAAGTTGAACAACTCAGGGCTTTCTTATGCTGTCAAAAGATTACCCTTCAGACTGTTGACCCAACTTAGTGGCTATTCTCAGAGGAATGCAAGGATGTGGATTGTGTCATGTGATTGTCAGAGGTGGTGACATAGAAATGACTGTCTGTAAAAGTTTTGAACAACAGTTCAGCAGATATTTACTATTTTAGTAAAACAATGTTTCTATAGTTAGCTATATAAGTGATTGGACTAAAAAGACCATGGACTAAATCAGGTGCACCCTAGTCCTCAAACTGACATCATTGCTGGACAGTGACAAAAGAAGAATTGACACCTTTGAGCTGTGGTGTTGGAGAAGAGTACTGAATATTGCATGGTCTGCCAAATGAACAGAGAGCTATGTCTCAGAGAAAGTGCATCCAAAGTGCTTCTTGAAGGCAAAGATGATAAAGCTTTATCTCACCTACTTCAGGGATATTGCTAGGAAAGCCTATTCCTTATTCCTTGGAGAGAGACATCTTACTTGGAAAGGTGGAGGGTAGATGAAGGAGAGGAAGACCCTCAACCAGATGAGTTGACACAGTGACTGCTGCAATGGGCTTGAGTGTGTCAGAAAGTGTGAGGATGGCACAGGATAGGATAGGGTTCAGATCTGTTGTTTCTAGATTGCTACAGGTCATACTCGACTTGACAGCACCTGACAACAACAGCAACAAAAACAGTTATTTATAACAACAAAAATATTTTTCATAAGCCCAGCTTACATGTATCCATACATCTACAAGACTATATAACTATATGCTAACTTTCTTTTTGAACCTTCTAACAAGCTCTGGTCAAAGTTGATGTTGTTGTTGTTGTTATGTGCCGTCGAGTCGTTTGCGACTCATAGCGACCCTATGCACAACAGCCCTAAACCCTGCTCTATGCTGCGCCAACCGCACTGCCTCTGACACTCCCATCCCGATTACCCCAGTCACCAAATCAATCCATCTCATAGAGGGTCTTCCCCTCCTGCGCTGTC